TGAAATGGAAATCTCGCACACGTTGATGCGACAAGTCTGCGGACAGCTTAACTAGGGCAGCGACAGAGAATACATGTATAAAGCGGGGGGGGGGCTGGACATGAAATGAAAGCCTTGCTCCTCGATGCGACAATGCTGGGCAGTAGACTAGGGAAGCAACACAGAAACAAAAAACGACAACGATGACGACGGGTGTGTGGTTCAAGCTGGCGAGTTGGCGGGACACGAAACTGACACCTCGCTCGCTGATGTGCCGAGCTTCCTCGTCGTCGTCGGCATCGTCGTCGCAGCGGTCGTCCACAAGGGGTACATATCCCGACTTCCGGGGGCAGGCTCGACCCTCCGGCACCCTCCCACGTCCCCTCTGAAAAGCGCTCACGGACGCCGCTCCTTCGAACGACGTGTGGTCGATTTCCCTCTCGTTCTGGGTCCGAGGCCGCAGAATGCCGGGCGGAATCAGTGGATCGAATGGAGCTCGGTTGGCCTACAAAGAAATCAGACAGCGTCCAAATCCGGTGAAAGAGGGACAGAAGAGGTCCAAGTGGCGTGTTGGGGCCCTTAGGGGTGCTGGGCTGCTCTGTCATTATGTGTTTTGTGTGTGCAGGTCGGGGGGATCAGCCGTAAAGTCCCAGTGAGACTACATAGGAACTACAGTCATATCATGCTTCTCGTCTCTCTGTGTTCCACTCTGGATGCCAACCGTTGCTCGTAGATCGATCGAATCCCTTGAATAGCTTGACGGGTTGAGTCGATTCCCATCCCTGGATCAGCGGAATCGCCGTTTGGGTGCGTCCAGCGCGACTGGATCAGGGGGATGCGCGGTAGAATGCAAGGACGTTGGACGCTCAAATTGGATCACCCTTATGATGCCGTTTGGCTGCAATCGAGTTGATCGGCACCACGCGCCAGCATCGGAACGCGTCATCGAACCAGTTCGAATCCTCGGCAACCCTGCCTCCAACGCAGTCGGGCTGCCTCCGAACCCCCAGGAGATGGGAGGAGGAGGAGGAGAAGGAGGAGGAGGGGAAGGAGGAGGATGAGTTCAAGAACACTCGAGTTTTTGATGTGCGCCGACCCTACCCTGGACCCGACCTACCAAGCCAACCTCCTCCCCCTCCAGTCCTGGGTGCAGGCGTGGCGCGAGAGTTGGTTACCCAGGAGCCGCATGAAGAACCTCTTCGAGCAGGCCCAGAAGGGTCCGGTTGATGATTGGAATCGCATTCGGGACCCTGGAGGAGCTGTATGGTGCACCCTTGGGCGACTTGGGTGGTCAGGTCAGCATTGTTGAGTGGCACGACCCCATTGGCACTCTCTACGATTTCGGGTACCTCGGTGAGAATTCTCTGAAGACATCGGTCAATGTGGTCTCCAAGAAGGCCGTGATCAAGAGCCTCGAGGGCACTCACTTTCATGGCAGTATCCTGCAGGGACCCCCTAGACTGGAGCTCATGGTGGATGTCTTGAGGCTGCTCAGAGGACGTAGTCAGGCTGCCGAAGCGGCCTACCTTTCTGGACGTGTCTCCGGAGGTCTCCCGACGCAGAGCAGGCTTTTCATGGACCTTCGCACGCGGCCTGCCCGAAGTGCAAGCTCCGCGGCGAGCTCGGCAGGCCCTGGCACAGGGTTGTGGGCTGCCCTGCGACATGGTGGGCTCGACGCGAACTGGACGTGTCCGAGGCCCTCGCCGACGTCGAAAAGGCTGCGCCACATGATATGGGTACCGTCAGCTGTCTTGCCCCCAGACTGGCTTTTGAGGCACCTCCCCCCGTATGGACTGTTCTCAAGATTGGAGCGTCTCACCCCCACATGGGGTCTTCAGTGGGAGTGTTGCTATAGATGGCTCGGCCTTTTCCACTGGAGACATCTCGCTTGAAAGGGCAGGCTGGGGCGTGGTCCAAGTGGACCGCCACGGGGGCTTGGATGGCGCCCTGTACGGTCCCCTGCCCCACCCTGTCCAGCAGGCGGGGTGTGCCGAAGTGTATGCGCATTTGATGCCTGTGAAAAACGTGGGGGTGGAACCCGTCCATGTCCTGTGCGATTGTAGGATGGGTGTTGATAGTTGGGAGGCTGGGCCCCATCAGTCTCTGGATAATGCAGCTTGTGCAGAGTTGTGGCGAGATCCTTTTGCCGACATTGCGAAGATATCACTGCGCCGATCACTGTTGAGAAAATTCGGAGCCATCAATCGTGGGCCTGAGCTGCTGCCCAAGCTTGTGCGCGGTGGGCCCGGAGAGGCAACCGCGAGGCCGACAGACCTGCGAAGGTAAGAACCAGGATGCACAGTATGCCCCTGAAGCTCATCGATGAACTCTGTGCCCTCGACTTCCAGGCTCGCGGCGGTACAGGATGGGTCGCGGGAGTCGGGGAAGCGTTCTCCAGGCTGAATTTCAATGATGCTAATAAGTTCCGAGCCAAGAGGCTCACGGCGCCAGCTGTACTCGAGTGAGTGTCAGAAGCGAACTGCCACGATTTAGTGCGAGTGGGCAAGAGAACCGCTTATATCAAGTGTGGAATTCGTGACTGGTCGAGAAGCGCGGTGACAGCGTTTCCGTGTACTGGTTTCCCCAGGCATGTTCGATTGGCGCCCCCCTCCCATCGACTTTGGAGTGGTGCGGGTGGTCGAGTGTGGTGCAGTGTCTGTGTGGCGTTCGGCATAACCAAGGTGTTCCTCCTTGCAAAGCCCTGTAATAACGGTCCTGGCAACAAGGCTGCCTGCCATACCCAGAGTCTCCTGAAGAGCGGGATCGGCCCCTCATCGGGTGCGGATTTTGGCAGGCCCTTCCCGTTCAAAAGAGAGTGATCCCTGGTTGGTGCCGTACGTTATTGGTTACCTCCATTTTTGCTGCAGGTGTTGCAGTAGCAGGGTCTGGTGTGCCAAGGACCGAGAGGACCTGGAGGGGGAGGAGGAGGAGGAGGAGGAGGAGGAGGAGGAGGAGGAGGAGAAGGAGGAGTAGGAGGAGGAGGAGGAGGAGGAGCAGCAGCAGCAGTGGCAACAGGAGGGGGAGAGAAAGAGATAGAGAGAGAGAGAGAGCGAGAGGATGAGTAGGTCTGGTTACGCAGGACAGCCCCGAGGGGAAGCGCCTCGCAAGTCTGAAACGTTACAGGGCGGGAGTGGGGCCCACCAGAGGGGGACTTCTTGCCACCCCGGCAGAGGATGCGGAGCCCGCCAGGGGCCCTGCCCCCCAAGAGCCACCAGGCTCCCTCGGCCCTGGACTCCGAGGAGCCACACCCTCTCGAGGAGCGCCGCCAGTCTCTGCAAGAGGAGGGGGGAGGGGGAGGACGAGGAGGGGGAGGGGGTCACGCTAGGCGCGCTCGCTCGCGTCATACCTGACGTCCTACCCTTCCCTCCCATTTCTACCGTGGCGTAGATTCCCCCTCTGTTCGCACAGCTTGATATCGAAGCGTGGCGTAGCATTACATGGCATAGCATATTGTTTAAGATCAGCGCGTAGCACGACACAGCATGGCGTGGCGACTCCCGCGAGTGGGGGGGGTGCAGGGGGTGGAGGAGGAGAGAGATGACCGATCCTGAAACGCCACCCTGGGACCCTGGGACTGCACTGAAGCTTGGAAGCGGCTGGGGGGTCTGCGCTGAAGGCCCCGATGACGGGGCACAAGGACACACCAAACATATACACACAAAAATACAAATATTCCCAATAGTTGTCCACATTTTCTGGGTTTTTGTCTTTCCCCCCACTTCCTATATTTTCCCATATTTCTAGGGATCGACGGTTAATTGTGCCTGTGTTTTCACCCTCCTAAAAGGCCCCGAGAGAATAGGCCAAGAGGGGGGGGCGAAGGCAAATGTGCTCAAAATCAGACCCCGGACCCCTCCCGGGGACCGAAGCTGATCAGTTGTTCGAGCCACGTCCAGCCGCGGCGATCAAGGGCACCTTTCTCCCACTCGTTACCGCTGGTCAGAACAGGTACTCGGCCACACCGTTCGGTGGCAACTCATGGGATCCTCCCGTGCCATCTTGCTGGCACTTGCGAATCGACGTTAACTGGCACCAGTCGCAACCAATCAAAACTATCGATGATGATCGGCGCTGAATCGACGCTGGATCGGCGCTTTGCTAGCGCAGGCTAATGCACTCTAGATGCAATGTCGAGGAGAAAAACACAAAACTCCCGCGATGTGCTACTGTGCTCAAAAGAAAAAACAATCAAAGAAATGCCCGGACAACACCCGTGACAACTCAAACAACGCGTGCTGATTAATGATGACAGCATGGTCTGCCCGGGACAACCCCTCGGACAACCCATCCTTGGACAAACCTTCTCGGGATTTCTTCCATAATCGGGAGCGGCCAAGAGGGGGTGGTCCAAGAGGGGGGGTGCAAATCATGACCGGCGGCATGTGCGCGGCCCAGCGGGGGGGCCATGAGAAGAGGCGCCTTGAAATCTGGGGAAATATCATGGCCCACGCCATGAAATCCCCCGTCCCTAGCCATCACCCCCCTCTTTGCCGCCCCCGAAGATGGCGTCGCGATTTTCTCAGCTGGCCAGAGCCCGTGCTGGGCAACCTCGGCCCCCCAAGCCGGTTCCAGACTGGAGCTGGCCTGCCCCCTCCGGATGGGTTGGCGCTGCAACGATTGCGTGCAACACCGATCTCCGAAGTTCACGCTACCCCTGTGAGGCGATCCCCCCCCGGGCGATGGCCCCTTCCTTGCACGATATCCCCTTGCGAGGGGCTGGTCGGTGCACGCTATCCTCGGCGGTGGACAAACCTCCCTTCAGTAAACCTCCCCTTAATGAAAACGACCTAGGGTCGAAATCGACGGACCTGGACCCGCAAAAATGACGGCCGCGACGCCCTCTCGCGAACCGAAAACGGCCAATTCCTTAATCGACGTGTCAGGGTAATTAGGAGGTCTGTCCCCCTCCGAGATCCCCCTGCCATAATACCCCCCCTGTGTACGCTAGCCGCAGGCCCGAGAGAGCGCAGAGAGCTGGAGACGGCGCGCGACCAGCACGCCGGGGAGCAGGAACGTGCTGCTCACTTCGAGCATCCGCTCGACCCGCGGAGAAGCCGCGGGCGCTTGCAGGGACTCCCCCTGAGCTCCCCCCATGCATTGGCCCGCGGCAGCGGCCTACGATCCGCGCGAGGGGCGTACCAAACTGGGCGAAGGGCTTTCGGGCCTCCGGGGTGTCTTTCGGACCATCCCCCTCTACCTCCCCTGCCCTCCCCGACCTTGCTAAGAAGCTGTTCTTCTTCAGACACTAGCAGAAGTTGACTTGCACGCCCTCCAGTGCTATCGCTTGGTCGTCTTGTCAACGATTACCCCTCCCCCCTCACTCCCCCTCCCCCCCCTCTCCGCCACCTGTTCAAGCAGCGCTGGGCCGAAGTTTCGTGCGAGTGAGTCCTGCCTTGCGTGAAGGTGTCAGAGTTCCTTTCTGACCTTACGATGCCACTCCGCGCCCCCTCCATGCATGTTTAACTTGCCAGAATCTGAAGGACAACTCCCCAAGACTTCGGGCTGGGCACAGGCAGCCCTCCAAGGAGTAGTCTCCTGGCTGGCTTCAACAGCCCCCCCCGAGGAATCGAGAGAGGCTTCAACACCCTGGCGCCGCCTCTGGCGGCGCTCCGTGCTCCAGGCTGGAGGTGCTGAGACTGGCCCAGACTCCTCGAGGGGCCTGCTGAGGCCAGCCAGGACTACCTGAGGAGCTGTCCGTGCCCAACTCCAGGTCTTCTCACTCGCCCCTTTACCCCTCTGCCCGTCCCCTGCTCCCCCTCCCCCCCTTTCACCTCCCCCCCCCTGCGGCAAGCTCAATCGGCGTCGAATCGGGAAGCTCGAATATCGAAATGCGCGTCGGATCGGGGCGCGTCGGCACCATAGTCGAAACCGAGCAGGATCGGCTGCGCCAGGACGCACAACAGCAGATATCGGGCCGATCCTCACACATTGAAATCGAATCGCGTGGAGCCAGTCGGAACCGATATTGAAGTTAAAACGATCGGGTCGATCACGCAGATCGCAACTGAACCCGGGAGCGTGCTGATCAGCTCATGCAGCTTGTTCTCCTGGAGGCACCTGTGCATTGAGACAAGCGCCCAGCGGCGGGGCCGTGCCTAGCTGCATGGAGCAGACTTCCCACCTCACACTGTTCCTGGTCCCCCCCTTCGCCCGCCCCGAGATGAGGGAGAGGGGACTCGCATGGATTCACTGGCCCTCACGGAAGCGGGTCCTGACCCCAGGGCTTTCCGCTCCGCAAGACCAGCTCTTCTTTCTGAGCGTTTTCTCATTCGGCGTTACGGCATTAGGCGGAACTGGGGCAGGGGGAGGGGGGGGTCTGGCTCCAGACCTCTGCTTAGCGCGACGGTTTGAGACAAGTGCGGGGGGGTCCGACGACCCCCTCCTGAAACCTTCCTGAGGAAGGTTGTTTTGTACGGTTTTGGGAAGGTTTTCCCGGGGGGGGGAGCGAGGAAGGTTTTAGGAAGGTTTTCCAAAAACCTTCAAAACACAACCTTCCAACAACCATTCTACAAACCTCCCAAACACCTTTTCAAAGCAAACTTCCAAAAACCTTCCTAACACCAGCATTTAGCAAAGCTGCCCAACACATTCCAAAAACATTCCAAAAACCTTCCAATAACCGTTCAACAAAAAACCTCCCAAACAAACCTTGAAACAAACCTGCCAAAAAACATCAAAACAACCATCCAAAAACCTTCCAAAAACCTTCCAACAAAACCTTCCCAAAACCTTCCTAAAACCTTCCTCAGGAAGGTTCCAGAGGGGGTTGACGCAAAAACCTTCCAAAAACCTTCCTGAGGAAGGTTTTAGGAAGTTGTTTTGTGTTGGAAGGTTCCAGGAATCCTTGAACCTTCCTGAGGAAGGCGGTAAGAAGGTTTTCCCAAAAAACCTACCAAACACATTCCAACAACCTGCCACACACCGTCCTAAAACCTTCCAGCATTTAGCGAAGCCGCCCAATACATTCCAACAACCTTCCAACAAACCTTCAACACACCTTTTCCAAACCTTCCAAAAACCTCGTTTATTGTTCTGTGTATGTATATATATATATAGAGAGAGAGAGAGAGAGAGAGAGCGAGAGAAAGAGAGAGAGAGAGAGAGAAAAAAAAAGCGTCCAAACACCTGTCAAAAACATACCTTCCAGAAGCCTTCCAAAGAACCGTCCAAAAACCTTCCTAAAACCTTCCTCAGGAAGGTTCCAGGATGGTTGACGCAAACACCTACCAAAAACCTTCCTAAGGAAGGTGTTAGGAAGGTTGTTTGGAAGGTTGTTTGGAAGGTTCCAGGAATCATGGAATCTTACCGAGGAAGGTTTTAGGACAAATTTAAGAAGGTTTCTCCAAAAACCTTAGAAAAACCTTTCAAAACAAGAACGTCCAAAAACCTGCCAACACAACCTTCCAAACACCTTCCTGAAACCTTCCTGAATTTACCGGAACCGCCCAATACATCCCAGAAAACTTCCAAACACCGTCCAAAACACCTTCCAAAAGCTTTTCAAACACCTTCCAAAAACCTTCAGAAAAGTAAAACAAATCAAAAACCGGCCAAACACCTTCAAACAAACACCACAAAACCATTCCAACAACTGTGCTAAAAACCTTCCAAAAACCTTCCTGAAACCTCCCAAACAAAACCTTCAAAAAAACCTTCAAACAAAACCCTCCCAAACAAACCGTCCAACAAAAACCTCCCAAACAAACCTTCAAAAAACCAGCCAAAAACCATCCAAAAAACCTTCCAAAAACCTTCCAAAAACCTTCCAACAAAACCTTCCAAAAACCTTCCTGAAACCTTCCTCGGGGAGTTTCCAGGAGGGGTTGGCCCAAAAACCATCCAAAAACCTTCCGGAGGAAAGTTTCAGGAAGGTTTTTTGGAAGGTTCCAGGAATCCGGGGACCTTCCTGAGGAAGGTTTTAGGGAGGTTTTTCCCAACCATCCTGTGGTGTTGGGTCCTCGTTTTGAAGAGACGGTCCCCGCGTTCCTTTCCTCTTCTCCTCCTCTTCCCCCTCCTCCTCTCCGCCGCCCGCGTGCGCTCCACACGCCCATTTCGGCACATCCCTCACACGTTTCGCGGCCCCATAGGGGGAGCTCCACCGAAGGCCCCAGTGGGACCGCCCGCATGCGTCCCCCACACCCAACTTGGCATTGTCACCTACCCAGTACAGCGCTCCGTGGCCCCATAGGGAGCTCCACCGAAGCCCCCAGTGGGACCGCCAGCATGCGCCCCCCACGCCCAATGTGTCATTTTCACCCACCCAATACAGCGCTTCGTGGCCCCATAGGGAGCTCCACCGAAGCTCTCAGTGGTAGCGCCCACATGCGCCCCCCACATCCAATTTGGCATTTTCACCCACCCAGTACAGCGCTTCGTGGCAAAATAGGGAGCCCCACCGAAGCCCCCAGTGGGACCGCCCGCATGCGTCCCCCACACCCAACTTGGCATTGTCACCCACCCATCATAGCGCTTCGTGGCACCATAGGGAGCTCCACCGAAGCCCCCAATGGGACAGCCCGCGTGCGTCCACCACACCCAACTTGGCATTGTCACCCACCCAGCACATCGCTTCGTGGCCCCATAGGGAGCTCCACCGAATCCCCCAGTGGGACCGCCCGCATGCGTCCCCCACGCTCAATTTGGCACTTTCACCCACCCAGTACAACGCTTCGTGACCCCATCGGGAGCTCCACCGAAGCCCCCAGTGGTACCGCCCACATGCGCCCCCCACATCCAATTTGGCAGTTTCACCCACCGAATACACAGCTTTGTGGCCCAATAGGAAGCCCCACCGAAGCCCCCAGTGGGACCGCCCGCATGCATCCCCCACACCCAACTTGGCATTGTCACCCACACAGCACAGCGTTTCGTGGCCCCATAGGGAGCTCCACCGAAGCCCCCAATGGGACAGCCCGCGTGCGTCCCCCACACCCAACTTGGCATTGTCACCCACCCAGCACAGCGCTTCGTGGCCCCATAGGGAGCTCCACCGAAGCTCCCAGTGGGACCGCCTGATGCGTCCCCCACGTTCAATTTTAGCATTTTCACCCATCCAGCACAGCGCTTCGTGACCACATAGGGGGAGCTCCACCGAAGCCCCCACATCCAATTTGGCATTTTCACCTACCCAGTACAGCGTTTCGTGGCAAAATAGGGAGCCCCACCGAAGCCCCCAGTAGGACCGCCCGCATGCGTCCCCCACACCCAATCTGGCATGCTCACCCACCCAGCACAGCGCTTCGTGGCCCCATGGGGGGCCCCACCGAAGCCCCCGATGTGACCGCCCGCATGCGTCCACCATGCCCAATTTGGCATTTTCACCCGCCCAGTACAACGCTTCGTGGCCCTGTAGGGAGACACCTCGCAGCCTGCCTAAGACAGGAGGTTCTGCTGGGGTCTCGACGGTGCGATGTGTCATGGCGCCGCCTCGAAACGGGGCGATGAGGGGGGGGCGCGGGGGGGGACCGGGGTGGTGGAAGGCAGGATGGGCGAGGGAAGGGACAACTCAGACCTCCGACATCGTGATGCTATCACGACGTGGGTCCCACGGGGTCTGGCAACCTAAAGGGGCCCTGGCACTTCATCCCGAGCCGTTCGCTGGCGGTCCCTGGGCGTGGCCCAAGGTCCCCGTGGGGCCGATGATTGCCGGAAGCCGAGGGAGCAACACGAGCTGCTCCACGGACCTCTCCTGAGGGGGGCGTCCTGGCCATGATCTCGAGGCGAATCCAGCCGCGGCGACGAGGGAGGGGCAACGGTATCGGTATCCAAGGGCTCCCAACTTCGCGCTTCGCGCTGCGCGAAGCGCGAAGTGCGAATAACTTCGCGCTCTCGCGCCGCCTCCCAGGGAAAAAGAGGAAGATGAGGGGGGGTCGGAGCCGAATCGCGAAGCGCAAACCGCGAAACGCGAATAACCTCGCGCCCTCGAGGGCGCCCTTGGTATCCCTCCCTCCTCTGAAGACCCTCCCGTCGTGTTCTTCTGCGGCGCGGGGGGGGGGCCTGGGAAGGCCGAGGGGGGCCAAGATGGCCGGGCGGCGGGCGGCGTCGGCCCCTCGCGGCATCTCCTCGAGCCGCCGTGGGCGCGCCACGGCGAGGTCGGCAAGGTGCGCGTCGGCGTCGGCATCGGCCTGTCCAGGTGGTCGACAGGGGGGGGGGGAGGCAGGGAGAGCAGCGGCCCGGGGTGGCCTCCAATGCGGCCAGGCAGCCTCCCCGGAAGGAGCAGGAGAGAGGAGGCCGCCCAACCTTCTGCGGCAACTCGTGGGAGCCTACCATACCATCTTGTTGCATCTTGCGAATCGATGATGGTCGACGCCAATCGACGCTAAATCGGCGCTAGTCAGCGCAAACCGACGCTAATCGGCGCTAATCGAAGCTAACTTGCGCTAAGCGGCTCTAGTAGACGCTAAGTCGGCGCTTTCTCATCGACCACCAGTCGCTGGCGCACGCCGATGCACTCCCAACGACGGGATTCCCCAATTACCGCGAAAGGCACGCGGAACGAGGGGAGGGGGGGAGGAGAGAGGCCACGCGGGGAGGAGAAGATCGGGCTCCTCCTCGAGGGCCTCCCTCCCCCGGCCGATCCTCCCTCTCCCGGGCCCGGGGCCAGCACTTCGGCCTCCGCGGGGCCGTGCAAGGGCGGGGAGTGGAAGCCAGGAAGAGCGAGGCGGAGCGATCCTCGAACGCCCCCCTCCAGTGGAGGGGGGGCGACCGAGGAGCGCTCCTTCTCCCGCGGAGGGGGGCTGCTCCACTGCGGTCGCACACGTGGGTGGAGGACCTCCAGCCGCGTGTGACCGCAATGGCGCACCCCCCCTTGACCCCCTCCCTCCATAGACCCCTCAGCTGACTCCTCAACTGAGGCATTCATCATCAATCCCCCTTATGTGAACTCCCTCCTCCTCCTCCTCCTCCTCCTCCTCTCGTCCCTCCTTTGTGCTATGGCGTTGCTGCCCTTCATTCCCCCTCTGGTCCCTGGAGGCATTCCCATGCACAGCAAAAGCATTTTTATGTGGGGGGATCCCCGACCCGTTGTTCCTGCCTTGCTCGCTGCTTCGCCTGCCCACGCCACCCAGGAGTGAGGAATACAGTCATCGTGCTACTACAAGGAACACATAATCAGGAAGGAAGGGGCTTTTCTGGCCACGGAGGGCATAGACCACAAACAGGCTCAACTACGTAAATCGGAAGAACAGCCTGAGCCCAAAACGGTCCTGATGTCCCGCCTGAGCCCAAAACTACGAGGCCAATGTTTATACACCATCACCGCCCGCAACAGTAGTTTATCGCAAAAGGGGTTAGGGGCAGGGTCATGCCAGACGACGCTGCGACGCCACGGCGACAAGGAGCGCGGCGCAGCTCGCAGGCGACATCGCATGGGAGTTCCTGAAGCAGGAACAGCACTTCTTGGTGGTGGTGGTGGCGGTGTATGATAATCGCTCCACTTGGTAACCAAAATTGTATACACAACCACCGCGCGTGCTTTGATGAATTCTGTTTCGGTACTTCAGAGAGAGAGAGCGCAGCCCGGTTGCCGCTGGCGGGGGGAGGGGGACTGCCGGCTTTTCACCAGAGCAAAACTGCACCAAATCGCATCGTAGATGATTCTCGATCTTGGTGGTGGTAGTCATATACGGTGCTCGGACAAAACGGTCCTGATGCCAGCATCTTTACTGTAGCAACCCAACCGCGCGGCGTGGAGGCACGCAACGCACATGTCCGAAGTGCCTGCGAGGGGGGAAGCGTAAGAACCTCCTCCACCTCCTCGACGCCCTCCTGCTCTTGCCCGTAGTTCCCGTGTTGCCAGCGTCGTTGCTCTCCTCGCCGACTGCGCTTCCAGAAACCGCCCGCCTTCCACACCCGCCGCGGCCTGGATGAAACGCGCGACTTCCAGACTCTCGAGGAAGGGCCACAGCGATGCCACTTGGAAAGCCTCGACGTGTCCCATAGTTGGGCCGACCGTTCGCGAGGCAACGAGTCGCACAGACGCGCGACCACTTTGGGGTACGCTCTCCAGTCCGAGGGGCCCAAGGGAGCCCCGAGAGGACCCCAAGAGCGCCCAAGAGCGCCCCAAAAACGCCCCAAGAGGGCCCCCAAGACGCCCTGCCTGAGCTTCCGAAGAGGGACCATAACTTCCCAGCCCCGCCATTCTGAGCGACGGGGCCCAAGATCGCTCCAAGGGGCCTGCAAGACTCCCACTTTGCAGGCTCTTTGCAGGCCCCCCTCCACTCTCTGCAAGGACCCTGGAACGACCCTGCGAAACGGGGACCTCTCTCGTGTTGGTTATGGAACCTTCAGCCCCACTGTTCAAAAAAAGGGGTGTGTGTGTGTGTGACATGCAGTCCCCCCACCACTGAAAACTCAAAATTCGTGCCGCGATAATTATCCTCTTCCTCCTCGTGTTCCTCCTCCTCCTCCGCCTCCTTTTCCCTTTTGCCTCCTGCCCCTCCTCTTCCTCCTCCTTTTCCTTCTCCTCCTCCTCCTCCCCGGCCAGCGCATCAGGCTCCTTCAAATCCGTCCAGAAACCCCACAAGGACCAAAGGAAACTGGAGGATCAATGGGGTATGTGTTACATGAGTCAGTAATGGTCCCATTGCTTCCCCGCCACTAATGCGCTTCCGCGGCGGCCCGTTCCACTTCATGTTGCTACACCGTCGTCATTCTAGCAACCCCCGTCGCAATTTATTTCGGGATGGGCTTGTGGATATACTTTTCGACCGCGAGCGACACAGGCAACTGCGCGCCGTGTAAGAACTCGGATTTGTCGAGGTATGTTTGTTTGGTATGCGGGCCCGCGAAGCAAGTCGAAAACCGTCCGAACACGAGTCGGGCCGCGACTTAGCAGCAGGAAAAGAAAGGCAACCGAAGCGAACGCGCGCGGGCAACCACTCAGAAGAATAACTAAAAACGAAACTCCCAGACCGGTGGCGTGGAGATCCCGTTGGCGAGCAGCAAGTAAGCGCAGCCAAAATGGCGCGGCGGCGCGACCATAAACACGCAGAGGTCAACCACTCGGTGTGAGTCGGCACAAGGCACCGTCAAAGACGAGCATACAGGACGAACTGGCACACCCGGGCGACGTCCGTGCCGTAGGCGACACAACTGCACCGTGTCATCGCAAGAGTGACTTGTGGAGACACGCGGCGAAAACAAATGTCTGGGGCAGCGGACACGGCTGATTAGCTACAAGACGCGCCGCAAACCGGCCGGCCCACTCACCAAGCAGCCGCGGGGTACTTGTGGAGATACGCGAAGCGTCAGGAATTGTCACGTGATCGGGCCGACCGCTCGTGAGGCTGCGAGTCGCACTGAAGCGGGACCACTTCGGGATACATTGTCAGGTCCAGGGGTGCAAGTGTGACCGGTGAACAAACATGTGGTTGTACGCGTGGCCCCACCGATGCCCTGACAGTGACGCTACTAGCGACCTCCCTGATGGCCCCTACTGCGAGGCCACTTACACGATGGGGGCCGCCCGAAAAGAGCACGTCGAGTGACGAGCCAGGAGGACAACGCCCGTCGTGTTTTTTTTTTGTGTGTGTGTGTGCGTGGCTGCACGTGCGCTTCTGTCCTAAATTGCCACCCCTTGCTGTCCCGCCTTTGCCGCCGCCGCTGCGCCTCGCCTTGTCTCCCCTGCCTTTTAGGCACTTGCCGTACGGCACATCCCCTTCCTCCTCCTCCTCCTCCTCCTCCTCCTCTTCCTCCTCCTCCTCCTCGTCCTCCTTTTTCCCCCTCCTCCTCCTCCTCCTCCTCCTCCCCCCTCTCCTCCTCCTCTTCCTCTTCCTCATCTTCCTCCTTCTCCACCTCCTGGCCGCAGGCCTCCCCCCCCCCACATGCCTACCCAGGGCCTGCGCATGACACACTTGATCTGTTCGGGTGGGTCCAAGCCTCTGGTTTCTGAGTGGTGGGCCGGCCGCGCACGCTTTCGGCGCCCCGTTCCTCGACCTTCTAGGCCTCGACGCTGCGTGTGAGGCCGCGAAACCAAAAAGTAAGTTGTGTGTTTTGTGTGTTGTTGTTTGTGTGTGCTTTGTTCGTGGGTGTGAATATTTGTGTGTGCGTGTCTGCGTGCGTGCGTGCGTCGACACGTCTGGGGGCCTAAAGCGACCCCGCCCCTCCAGCGAAATCCGCCTCCCTCCCCGCCCGCCCGCACCTCCAAAACCTAGATCTTCAAACTGTTTGCACTTCGCGCTGCGCGCTGCGCGCAACGCGATGATCGGTCCCAACGCGGGGCGCGATGACCTGAGTCGGGTGCTGCTAGAACTGCCTTTGGCCTGAGGCCCCCCCAGGAGCTCCAAGCAGGCCCCCGCGGCCCCCAAAACACGCCTCTGGAGGCCGAGAGGGCCATCGCAAGCAAGCAAAGAACCTTCTCTCCGCAACAGGCAGCCACTCTCCGATAAGCCATGCGTGAGCTTGCCAAACACGACTGCCTTCTAGACCTCAATTGTCCTACGCCTGCTCAGACCTGAATGTCGCCAGAACTTGGACAGCCTGTCGAAGTCGGCACGCGCCGCGCCCACGCGGCGACTGAGTTCGTTGCCCGCGGCGCCTATTCCATACATCGAAGCACCCTCATATCTTCTTGGGCTGGGATGACGTTTCCATTCGAATCACGAATACTGCTGGCGCATCTGCTTTACAGAAGCTGGCATTTGCCCGGGCACAACTCCATGTGTTAAGATTTCCCAGATCTCTGCGTAGCAGCAAAGATGTGTTCCACCCCCCGCTTCATCCTTCCCAGAATCAGCGCGTCGTCCGCGCGCGGCAGGACGGCGATGGATCCGATGTCCTAGAGAGCTGGGTGCCATGCTGCAAGTTGGGAAATATCGTCTTCGATCTTTCTTGTCATGGTCATCACGAACAGGAAGGGTGATAGAAGGCATCCTTGCGATATCCCAGACGACAGCGGCCTCGAGGAAGAAGCCGCCCCGCTGTCCCGCACCTCAAAGAGCCTGTCGCTGCAAATCGCCTCGATTGCCTCCACTGCGTGCTCGGGCAAGCCGGGAGGTCGCGGACCGGGCAGCATGGCCAACGGGCCGACGGAGTCGAAAGCTCCCTGCCAGTCCAAGGCTAATGCGTACACATCACCTGATGATGTACCCACCTCCAAGTCCATAGGCCGACGGGGCGCAAACATTGCCTCTTGCGCCCCATGGTCCGATCGAAAACCAAATTGCGATCCCGTCGGCCTGGATTCTGCCCCTGCCTCCACCAAGCGTCGGCGCAGCAAAAACGCGAATACTTTGCGCCCAATCGCGCGAAGACTGGTTGGTCGATAATTCGCCCAATCGTCTGGTTTCCTTTGTCGTGCATTGCTGTTGGCCCATGCTGTGCGCCATCCTTGCGGCGCCCTTCGCCCTTGCCAACGGCGGTCCGCAAAAGTCGCGACGCGTTGCAACGCCCTCTAGTCGTCTGCAAGTGCTGCGAAGCCAATTCTCATGCACCACCACCGCCCGCAACAATAGTTTACCGCAAAAAAAGGGTCAGGGGCAGGGTCACCGCGGCGCAGCTCGCAGCTCGCAGACGCCATGGGGAGTTCCTGAAGCAGAAACAGAGCTTCTTGGTGGTGGTGAACAATATCGCTCCTCTTGGTAACCACACTTTTATACACTACCACCGCGCGTGCTTTGATGAAGTCTGTTACGGCCCTTAAGAGAGAGGGGGCAGCCCGGTTGCCGTTGGCGGCGGGAGGGGGGCTGCGGGCTTTTCACCGTCGCAAAACTGCACCAAGTCGCATCGCAGATGATTCTCGATCTTGGTGGGGGTAGTCATCTACTGTGCTCAGAAGTGCCTTCCAATATTCTGGCGGGTTGCCGTCTGGCCCAGGTGCGCTGCCATCGCGCAGCTGGCGAAAACGTGCCCTGACCTCGCCGCCCGCGAAAAGGGCAAATTGGCCAGCAGCGCGCGTCCGAAGGCGGGTGCGTCGGAAACGTCGGCTGGAAGCGCGCCCCATTGCACCGTCTCGAGGCATGTTGCCATGGCGTCTGCTCGGACTTCGCTGATGACTCGTTATCCTTACAAGTTCCGGGCCCGCCCCTGCTTGGCGAAACGGGTACCTCGGGGCTTCCTGATGCTATCCCAGGAACCAGGCGCCGCCAAATCATCCAACTAGTTGGGCTTATCTTCTCGTGCAGATTTTCGCGCAGCCGCGTGTTTCTCCTTCTCCTGCGCGGCGTTCCCGCCCGCTCGAGCCTGCGCTGTTTCTTGGATGGGCTGCGCTGCCCGGCCGCTGATCCACAGTTGTCTGGCTCGGGGTGGCTCGCGCGGCAAGACCTCGGCTGCAGTCTCGATCGCGGCCGGGGCGGCTTGCCGGGCGCCGTCGATCGCGTCGGCGGCGCCCGTGGCGTCCTCCGCGCAGTTCTGCAATAATGCCGTAACAGTTTGATGTCGTATACCCGGTGTTTGCGAACTCCTTCTGTTTTTGAGCGCGGTGTCGACGTGGCTGAGAATGCTGAAAATCGAGGTCGATCTGGCAACGCATTGCGAGCAGCCGCGTGGCCAGCGCTCCTTCGCGGCGGCAGCCACCAGGCGCCATTCGGTCAAAACTTGCGCCCGGCACGAGAAACAAATCGAGCAAAGCAAATTCGGCAACATGAAATCGCTGGGTGTTCGGCCGCTCTCCACGCATGCAACCCGTTGCCCGTCTGTCACGCTCTGAAAACTGCTGCTGATGCTGCGCTGCTGCGCCGTGCAGAACTCCATCACTCGATCCCGTTTGGGCGACTCTTCTGTGCGTTTCGCGTCTGCTCCAAAAAAACGCAGTTCAAGCGCGCGTTCTTCGCTTCGCCATTGTTGGCCAAGCCGGGCGTTGAAGTCCCCAGCGATGCGTTCGAATCCATTCGCCGATATGATACTGGACAATTTTTCCAAGTCCAGGTAAATGCGCAATCGTTCGGGGAGTGGTCGGAGGGCGCGCGGGGCGTGGCCGGCGATTATCCGCCGGCTTGAACCTGCTTCCCCGTATCTTCAGGCGAGCGAGCCGGTCTGAATCTTGCAAGATGCCACAGATGGACGGCAGTATCTCACTCCTGATCTAGGTTTGTCTGCGCTGCCTGCAGTTTCCGAGCCCGCCAAAATAATAAAGCGCCCATCGCTCGCGCAGCACTCTGCATTCGAACCCCGCGTCTCCTGGGGGCAGAGGACATCGACGTTTAAAACACGCTTTGCCTCGCAAAGCTTCTCGTTGGTTAAGCCAGCGACGTTCCACGCGGCGATTCTGACGCGCCCGCATTGCGAGCTCGAGGCTCCGCGCGGGCGCGGGCGCGGGCGCCGCAACGGCGCTGAACAACGATGGGGTGACAGTCCTCGCCCTCCGGGCCCCGTCACTTCCCCCCGTTCTCCCCTTCCCCTTGGCGCGCGTCAGTGGCGCGGGGCGGTGCTCTCTCGCTGGACGTGCGGGGCGCAATCAAAGTCGCATCGTTTTGGAGGTCAGCCCAATTCTCCCATTCTGCACAGTGTCGTCTGAGCTTGAGTGCATGGTGAGCTTCTCGTCGTCATATCTAGAAAGCTTCGGAGCGCGCGCGGTCCCTCTGTGAGCTTCTCTCGCCCCATGTCGGCGTGCGTGGTAAGCTTCTCGTCGTCGATCTGGACGAAGGCCAGGAGCTGCTGAGGGCCGAATAGCATCTGGCTCGGGATCCTGACAGAGGCTGGCTAATTTTTATGTGGCCAGACCCTTTTGTTCTTGCAATTAACTGGTGAAGCTCGTAACATGCGCAGCGCTGTCTCTGCATCTCTGTCGTCGCTCATCTTTGCAAAGCCCCTTTGTAGATACCGCCTTTCATGCAGATGCCACTTGGCGCTGGCATGTTTGACTTGGCCATCCCCTGTTTGAGAAATGCGACTGCCTCTTCCACCGATGCCAGTTCCTCCAAGCCCCCAGGGACAATCGTCTCAGTTGCCTGTTGTGGGGCGCGGCGTAGGTCGGCAAACTCCAAAGATCCGAGGCGCACTTCGACCTCAGGGCTCAATCAGGTATCTGACGCCGTCAGATAATGGCCGCGAGGGGTCAGCTTCGATTGCAGTCACTCGGGCTTCCACATGTCCCAACGAAGCCTTCAGCGGTGACACGGCAGCTTGACGATTACGTTGAAAAGATCTGTGGCTGTTGATGGCCGCGAGGTCCATCCGAATAGGCTTCAGGAGCTTCTGGGTCGCCTCTAACGTCGCGGGCGTGCTTGAAGATGCCCTTGCAACAGCACGTTCGTGCTGCCGTTGACGTGCTGCTGGGAGATATTCGGAAGCCAGTGCAAGAACCCCGTCCATATCATTCAGCGGGCTGTGAATCATTATCGCATTTGCTTTGGGCTTCCCTGGTATTGGGGTCCACGGTGGCGAAACAAGTGGGAAACATCCATCACTGAACACCTGCCTGACACGGGTGCCTGGCACGCGCGCGTCCCCATTCGCACCCGAAGCACACATCGCTGCAGGCATGCTCGCGCGAGAAGGTTGGATGAAGGGGACGTAGCGATGAAGAGAAAATGCAAGTGCTAGCCAGGTGTGGTCAGTGAAAGATAAATGTGCCTGACGTGATCCAATGCACGCGTTCCAAAATTGAGCGAAACGCTGTGGGCACCGTGGGCCAGGGGCACATTTAGCACCCCCCGCCGGTCGGGGCCCATGGGCGGCACAAACATTTGTATACACACACGCACACGCACGCGCGCACACACAAACACACACAGACACACACACACACACACACACACGCACGCACGCACGCACGCACACACGCACGCAGGAACGCACACACGCACATGTTTTTTTTCCCACGTGTCCTGGTTTACATGTCTCCCACATCTCTCCTTCCCATATTTATTCCACATTTTTACGACTCCCAGGTTCGTTTTTTTTCCGGCGTTTCGAAGTTGGGCGGAAGGGGGGCGACCGCTGGTGTCGCCGGCGGCTGGTTTCGCTTGGCTGGTTTCGCCGACGGATGGTTCCGCCGCCCAGCGAAACCAGTTGCCGTCGGCGAGACCAGCTCCGTCGGCGAAACCAAGTGCTATCGGCGAAACCAGCTGCCGTCGGCGAAACTGCCCGACCCGACCCGCCCGCGAGGGTCCGCCCGCCCGACCCGACCCGCCCGTTAGGGTTCGCGCGTGCTCCGTTGAGCGCGCCCCAAACTTTAATGTCCCGCCCGCCCGACCCGACCCGATCGTGAAGGTCCGCCCGCCCGACCCGGCCCGACCCGCCCGCTAGTGTCCGTCCGCCCGACCCGACCCGCCCGTCAGGGCTCGCGTCGGCGAAGCCAGCGTCGGCCAAACCAGCGCCCGGGCGAAACCAGCGGGGCGAAACCAGCGGGGCGAAACCAGCGCCGGCGAAACCAGCGCCGGCGAAACCAGCTCATGCCGGAAGGGGGGGGGAAGGGGGGGGCTGGCTCCGGACCTCTGCTGGAGTGTGGCTGTTAGTAACCGTGCGTCCTATGGGGTGGGGACTCCACCTGCTGGAAACAGGCGCCCAAACCAGCCAAGATCTACTCCATGGGGGGGAGGGGAGGGGAGCGAGGGCCCGCGCCCCTCGGCACAACACTGCAACAAAAACGATCGCACGACACCCGGCGTGTTTTTGTGTGTGTTTGCGCTGTGATCTCCCTCTGCCTCCCTTCGCACACCCGCTGCGGGCGCGCCGCGCCGCCCCGGGCAGCCGGCGGCCGACAGGGGGCCTCGATCTCCCGACGCAGGGCGCGGGCCCGCCGGCCCAGCAGCTCGCAGAGCCTGGGGGCTGCCGGGGCCCCTCCTCGACTCTTTGTTCGCGGCGGTTGGGCTGCATCTGTGAGCATCGTTTAGCCGATCCCCGTCCCGAGCGGCGTGGCCTGGGCCACGCTGGCCGAGCTGGGGGTAGTAATTTGGTGAGGGTCTCTAAGGGAATGGGGATGGGGATGGGGATCGGTTACACGATACCGAATCTGGGGAGGAGGGGGAGAATGAAGCGAAGTGACATGCAGCTCGTGGAATCCAGTGCGCCTGTCCGTGAGAGCGACCGTGCCCTGGAGTCACCGGAAAGCGGCACCGCCGCAATCAGAGCTAAGGATTCTGAGCGGGCGGCACTCCGCCGACTTGTGCGCCTCGAAGCCGCAGCTGCACCTGCCGCAGCCAGCTGCAGCCGCAGCCGCAGCCGCAGCCGCAACTGGCCACAGCCACAGCCACCGCCACAGCCACAGCCGCAGCCACAGCCGCAGCCACAGCCGCAGCCACAGCCGCAGCCACAGCCGCAGCCACAATCGCAAGTGCAATCGCAGCCGCAATGGCAATCGCAATTGCAACCGCAGCCTGAGCACCGCAGCCACGGACTGTCGCGCGCTCCCCTATTGGGGCACGGGTCCAGGCAGCAACCCTAGGGGCGCGCAATCCTCTGTTGGGCGCCGCCCGCAGGACGTGAGTCCTGCGGAGGATGACGAGGGAGGAGGGAGGAGGGAGGAGGGAGGAAACGACGACGACGACGACCACGACGACGAGCGGAACTGAACGGAATGTGCCCGAAGGGAGAGCGCACAGCACATCACCTGTGCTTGCCCAGGGTCGCTTGCCTCTGGAGGCTTCTTCTGATGCGCGCTCTCGGAACGAGAGCGGCCACACGCTGCTCGTGAGAGGAGGCTGCCCCCGAGGCCGAACACGATCTGCTGACCACCATCAGGTCTGGAATCACCGCAGACTCCGAGGGGCCAAGGCAGGAGGAGGAGGAGGAGGAGGAAGAGGAGGAGGAGGAGGAGGAGGAGGAGAACGAGGGAGGACGAGGCTGACGAGGAGGCGGCGGAGGAGGACTCCTCCCCCGCCCCTGGCGGAGCGGGGGAAGAGGAGGGGGTAAAGGGAGGGAGGAGGGCGGAGGGAAAGGGAGGGGAGGGAGGGAGGGGGGAAAGGGGGCGCGCGCGCTCTGGAGCGAGACGAGGACAGGATCAGGACAAATGCGGACGAAGACAGATCGGGGATCTCTTAGAACTGGTGGGTCTGGACGATGCATCGGACGTCGCAGTCGTTCCAAAGCGGTTCGGCACGCTCTGGAAGTGTTCCAGAACGCTCTGGAGGGATTTACTCGTCATGGGCCTGCTTGGACGTTTGGACCTTCGGAGGCATCGGGATGCAAGATCACTCATCATCGGATCAGGCTTGCATCCAATCTGATCGGATGCGCCTGGATGCGCAACAATGCCATTCGAACATCGGGCCGCATCGGATCTCCAGAATGTCGGAATCGGATCGAATCGGCTGGGAACCGCTCAAGAATCGGATCGATCGGACCGGAATGGACCTGTCTTCAGTCGTCCTCCCACCTGCTTCTGCTGCTGCTCCTGCTGCGTTTCTTCCTCTCGCTCCTCCTCTTCCTCCTGCTCCTCCTCCTGCTCATCCTCCTCCTCGAGTTGTTTTGCTCTTCCTGGTATGTGGTGTTGCTGCTGCTCCTCCACCGTAATACGCCTCCTCATCCTCATCTACCTCCCCACCCTCCGCCCCTCCCCTCTCTACAGCCCCCCCCTCAAATCCTCCAACCTCCTCCTCATCCACCTCCTCCCTGCTCCATCCTCCACACTTCTCCACCTCCTCCTCCTCATCCTCTTCCTCCTCCGTCACGCGTCCCTCCTGAAGTCGGATAACGGCACCGAGCCTGCCTGGGCTCGGACGGGAGAAGTTTGACCTTTGCGAGAAATCTCTGTGCGATGCATCGGGGACGTCGGCGACGCATCGGCGCCGTCGGCACGGAGAATACGGAGCTCCACATCCAGCCGCATCACCGATGCATCGGCGATGCGGCGCGATCCTGCGACGCCATCTACTCGGACCCAATCTGGAGGGCTTGAACACTCAGTGCCGCGGCCGGCATTCCCCTGACAACTCCTTGTGTCCTTGATTCGTGCGCGTCGCTGCAGAACAATAACTAGGCCCCAAACGAGAATCGAAGCCAAAGCGCGCGCCGATGTGCTGTCCTGAAGGGCCCGATACGTCTTATTATGTTGGTGTCTCCTCTGGGAGAACTGAAAACCGAAGAAAAATACAAAGGCGAGGCGATCCAAGGCACCCTCTTCACGATCATAATCCACTTGCTCATCCGCCTCCTGCCCCCCTTCTCCCCTTTTTTTCCAATGCTTCTCCACAACCCACGCCACTCTTCTTAGCTCCTCCGCCTCCCTCTTCTCCTCCTACCCCCCGTCCTTACCCCCAGGAATCTCCCCCCGATCCCTGATCAGGGGAGGGATGGGGGTCGATGGCTGGGGAGAGCCATAGGGGGACGAGGAGCCCAGGATCAGACGAGAACGCGCCAGCCCCCCGCCTGCCACGGCGCGGGAAAGCGTGTGAATCCGTTTGGCCGCCCCCCTCCCCTGCGCTCCAAAATCCTGTTAAAGAACGTGGTGGGCGCACGAGCTCCCCAGCTCACCTCCCCGGCCCTCGGAGCCCCCAAATCCACCCACCGCAGCCCCCTAAGATGCCCTGTGTAGTGGTGCGAGGCGCGAGGCCAGAAGGCCAGCTTCTCGTTTTGCATCTGTAGAATGATGCCCTGTAGAATGGTGCGAGACGCGAGGCTGGAAGGCCGTCTTCTCCTTTTGCATCCACAGCGAGAACAGCTGCCCCTACGAGCGGCGCTGGTATCCTGGTGCAAAGTGGGTTCAACATAGGGATACAGTCAGCCGACCTGCCGCAGTACACTCCGCCGCAGTGCTTTCCAGGGCACTCCCCCATCTGTGTCATTTCAGCTTGTTTCGAGGACTCGGTTGGCCACAGCAATACTAATGTGTACCTCGATACCACTGCAGGGTGGTGCCCACAGAAGTACAAGATGCCTGTTTTCATGGGGGTTGATTTCAACGTGAATCCTTCCATGGTCACAACCTCAGGAGTATGCGACAGAGCCAGCTTGGCGCTGATTCACACCAGCGGCTACACCATGTTTCAAGGCAAAGGCAGACGCAATATCGATGATTGCCTCATGAGTTCCTGTCTAAAAAATTCGGTGCAATCTATGGACGTGCTGAAGCAGTACCCGCTGTCCCCTCATCGTCCGGTGCGTTTGGAGTTTGCGTTCGGGGCCAACGTCATGATCCCCGTGCTGTGCAAGGCCGAGAAACTCCCCACCAGGAAACCCTTCGGACCCTCTCTGGAGAACATCCGTTGGATCAGGACCCAGGCCGCTCTGGGCACTCTTGGGGCGATCTTGGAGGACGTAGAGGACCCTGTCCAGCAGCAAAGTGCTATATAAAATGTATGATGTTCTTGTCAGTGAAATGCATGGAAGCGACTATCAGCAGAGCTACCAACACCCCCATCAAACATCAAGGACAAAGATGCGCCACCCCCAAATCTGGTGTTTTTGTCACCCGAGGCAGTAGAGTCAACACCGAGCATAATTGAAGTCGTACTGGCGCTTTGTTCGTTGGCTCCTCAATCGGGTAATGGAGATTCAAGGAGACATCTTCAGGAAGCAGGCCGACGAATTACCAGACTTACACCAGGCGCTTGGAGAGCAGCCGCCAGAGGTCAGCGCCAATGAGTTGGCAGACTTGCACCTTCAGCGAGTCTTTTGCGGGATGTGCAGGGCCAAAGCACAAGAGGTGTTTCGGAACAGGTAAGGTCCATCTTTTCGGAGTTGCACGAAGGTTCACGAAGTTTCTGGATGGAGGAAAACAGCTCCGAGGATCTACTCTTGGGGCTACTGAATCTCAGAAATAATGGGTGTCGGACAAGATGAACTCAAGTGTTGGATGGGCTCGCAGGTGGACCAACAACCTGCGCGCTTGGACGCCATCCAGAACCAAAACTGCCAGAGGGGATTTTCCAGGTTGCCCCACGGAGTTGCTCTACTCGACGGTGCGACGCCTTACTGACATCTGGGAGCCCCGACAAGTTCAACAAGATAAGGTTCCAGGAGATCCCCTTGCTGCCTCCAGGGTCCAGAAAATCACCCCCAACATGCTCAAGAGGGCCCTGGGGAAATTCAGCCATGCCACGTCCGAGACGTAGGACGGCATCCAACCGTGCCAATTCAGGCTGCTGGCGGTTGACCAGCAATCTCTAGAATGCGGTGACCAGCACGAAACGCTGGGCGGGGGAGACGCCTGTGGATACCGCCACTAGGGCGTGGAGTTCCCTATGGGGGAAACGCTGTACTGATTTGGGGAGACGCATGCGAACGGATCATTGATTGAGGCCTTCGGTGGGGCTCCATGTGGGGCTGCGAAAGGCTGTATTGGGTGGAGGAAACGCATGTGGACGGTTCCACTGTGACTTTCGGTGGGGCACCCGATAGGGCCACGAAGCGCTGTACTGAGGGAGAAACGCATGTGGACTTTGCCACCGAGGCCTTCGGTGGAAATCCCTATAGGGCCACGAAGCGCTACACTGGGTGGGGGAGACGCATGTGGACGGCGCAATTGAAGCTTCCACTGGAGCTCCCCATGGAACCACGAACCGCTGTGATGGGCGGGGGAGAAGCCTGTGCACGGGTCCATTGGGAGCTCGGTGGAGCTCCCTCTGGGGCCACGAAGCGTTGTACTGGGCAGGGGAGACGCATGCCAATGCAGCAACTGGGGCCTCCGGTGGCGCGCTCCCCATGGGGCCACGAAACGCCGTGCTGGGTGGGGGAGACGCACGTGGACACCGCCGCTGGGGCCACGACACGCAGTGCTGGGTGGGGGAGACTCATGGGGACACCGCTGCTGGGGCCTTGAGTGGACCTCCCTGTGGGGCCACGAAGCGCCGTGCTAGGTGGGGGAGACGCATGAGGACACCACCACTGGGGCCTTGGTTGGACCTCCCTATGGGGCCAAGAAGTGCCATGCCTTGCTGGGTGGGGGGAAACGCATGTGGACACCGCCACTGGGGCCTGGGGTGGACCTCCCTATGGGGCCACGAAAGCCGTGCTGGGTGGGGGAGATGCATGTGGACACCGCCACTGGGGCTGTGGCTGGACATCCCTATGGGGCCAAGAAGTGCCATGCCTTGCTGGGTGGGGGGAAACGCATGTGGACACCGCCACTGGGGCCTGGGGTGGACCTCCCTATGGGGCCACGAAAGCCGTGCTGGGTGGGGGAGATGCATGTGGACACCGCCACTGGGGCTGTGGCTGGACATCCCTATGGGGCCAAGAAGTGCCATGCCTTGCTGGGTGGGGGGAAACGCATGTGGACACCGCCACTGGGGCCTGGGGTGGACCTCCCTATGGGGCCACGAAAGCCGTGCTGGGTGGGGGAGATGCATGTGGACACCGCCACTGGGGCTGTGGCTGGACATCCCTATGGGGCCACGAAGCGCCGTGCTGTGTGGGGAAACGCATGTGGGCACCGCCATAGGGGCCTTGGGTGGACCTCCCTATGGGGCCACGAAAGGCCGTGCTGGGTGGGGGAGGCTGGGGCCACGAAGCGCACTGCTGGGTGTGGGAGGCGCATGTGGACACCGCCACTGAGGCCGTGGGTGGACCTCCCCATGGGGCCACGCAGCGCCGTGCTGGGTGGGAGAGACGCATGCGGACACCGCCGCTTGGGCTTTGGGTGGACCTCCCTATGGGGTCACGAAACGCCGTGCTGGGTGGGGGAGACGCATATGGACACCGCAACTGGGGCATTGGGTGGAATTCCCTCTGGGGCCACGCAGCGCCCGCCGTGCTGGGTGGGGGAGACTCATGGGGACACCGCCACTGGGGCCTTGGGTGGGCGTCCCTATGGGGCCACGAAGCGCCGGGCTGGGTGGGGGAGACGCACGTGGACACCGCCGCTGGGGCCGTGGGTGGACATCCCTATGGGGCCACGAAGCGCAGTGCTGGGTGGGGGAGACGCATGTGGACACCGCCACTGGGGCCTTGGGTGGACCTCTCTATGGGGCCACGAAAGGCCGTGCTGGGTGGGGGACACGCATGTGGACACCGCCGCTTGGGCCTTGGGTGGACCTCCCTATGATGATGCTGCTGATGATGCTGCTGATGATGATGATGCTGCTGATGCTGATGATGCTGCTGATGATGCTGATGATGATGATGCTGATGATGATGATGACGACGAAGGAAGGAGGGAGGGAAGAAACGCGGGGGTCGTCTCTTCAAAACGAGGACCCAACATCACAGGATGGTTGCGAAATAACCCCAGACGGCCCAAGAGGCCTCCAAGAGGCCTCCACGAAGACCAGAAAAGGCCAAAGTCATTGATGTTCCGTAGGTTGTCGGATGACTTTGGTATTTGCTTCTTTTCGGCCTACCGACGGCCCGAGACGGCCCAAGAGCTCCAAAAGTTCGCCCCAAGATCGCTGAAGAGGCCTCCAGGATGGCCCCAGAACGGCCCAAGAGGCCCCCAAAACGACCCCAAGAGGGCCCCAAGACTGCCCAAGAGGCCTCCAAGATGCCCAAGATGGCCCTGGAGCACCCAAACCCAGGAGAGCCCCAAGTCGGCCCAGAGAGGCCCCCAAGACGGCTTCCGACGGGCCATGAGCCCATCACGACGGCCAAAGAGGCCCCCCAGAAGCCCCCAAAGGCACCCAAGTGGCCCAAGGCGGGCCCCAAGATGCCTCCAAGAGGCTCCCAGGAGGTCCCAAGAGTGTGCCCAGAGGCTCCCAAGATTCCTCCGCCTCTTCCTCCTCCTCCTCCTCCTCCTCCTCACTCCTCCTCCGCATCCCCAAGTGTTCCCCGCCGTCCTCCCCAAAGTGATCCCCGAAGAGTTTCCACAACGGTTGGGGGAACACATGGTCCGATAGCTTGGCAGAGCTCTTGCCACAACGCTCGGCCACATGGACGATTCTAGAAGGCAGGGGGCGGCGGTGATTCGCCGTAGGCGTCTTCGATAATGCCAACGTCCCAATCTGCGCTGATGATTCCAATCCGCCCCCGCATGATATTCCCAGATGCGCGAAGGCAGCGCCGAGACGCACCGACGCGACACTGATATATCCCAGTATGATAGAAAGGGCGCTGGCCGCAGGGGGCAAAGCCCTTACGGATAATGTTACGATGGAATTGGCTCCAAACATGTTGTGGTAACTCTGAAGCTTCTGGCGGCCCTAAGACATTCCTGGAAAATGTGGGACGCATCGTTACCATTGATTCTCTCTCTTCTGAGTGAAAGGAACGGAAGCAGAGGTGGAAGGATAGGCATAATGAATCAACATCGGATCGGAACGTGTGCCAAATCAGGCTGCATCGGCACGGAATCGAAATCGAATATGATCGGCTGCGCCAGGATGCGCAGCAACGCCGTGCGAGCGTTGGGCCGCATCGGATCTCGGGAACATCTGAATTGGATCGGAATGGGACGGCTAGAACCGATATCGAATCGGATCGATCGGACCCTCTGGTCGATCCGATTAGATATCTGTTCCCAACCCCTTCCCCTGCTCGTGCTCCCCTGCTCGTCGCTCGTCCTACTCCGCCTCCTCATCACCTACTCGTCCTTGCCCTGCTCGTCCTCATCCTGCTCGTCCTTATCCTGGCATCCGATGAGATATCGATCCTTTCCCTGATCGTCCTCCCCCTCCCCCCAAGGTCCCCAGGGTGAGGCGGACGACGAGCAGGGGAAGCGGAGGCCCTCTCGCCCCCCCCCCCCTCCCCCCCGACTGCCGGAGGAAGCTCCTCCGAAGCGCCGCATCAAGCTCCTGGCCCCTCTCGAGGGAGCGGACCGCGGCCGCGTCCGCGACCTCGGCGGCACGACGGGCGAAACCGCCCCCCTCCCCCCCACTCCATCCTCCTCGCGCCTCCTCCTCGTAGGGGAACAATTTTTACGTCGCAGCGCGGCAGGGGCAGGCGCTAATCCTCACAGGGGAGCAAACAATAACATAAACATACGAACTCTGAGGTCCGCGCGGATTCCTTGGATCGGCGCTGGAGGCCCCCTGGCGGCGCTTCCGGCGCCGCACCTGGCGCGCTCCTCGCGCCATGGAGGGGGGTCCAGTGTCGATCCAAGAATTTCGCGCGGCCCTTAATGTTCATGTCATTGCTTGATCCCCGATCTCAATGGAACAGAAGTCACCAGCATAAGCATGACTTCCTGAGGCACGAGTGATGGCATGCTGCGACTGGCTCAGGATACGTGCCATCGGCGGCGAGCGAGGCGGGGAAGTAAGAATGAGAATGCCATCTCAGAAGGCGGAGGAGCTTCGCAGAAGCCCTGACGCCTTCTGAGAGATTTGTTGTCTTCGGGGAAGGCTTAGACAACTTTTCAAGACGCCAGGGGACTTCCGAACCGTCTTGGAAGGCCTTCTCCTTATCACGTTCCCCCCGCTTGCCGCCCATACCAAGAAGTCTGACGCATCTAGCGGCCATCGGCACTTGCCGCAGGCAGCTGGACAACGGTGGCAACCTGCCGCAGGCAACTGGACGACGGTATAAGATGACCTTACAGGCCATCTACGCAGGTCATCCAAATCCGCGCACCCGCGATGCGCGACGATCCTCGCGACCGCGCGCCGCCCTTTTCTGCAGATGGGCAGCCGCTCTGGCCCAGGCCGCGGATCGCGCGATGATCATCGCGCCCTCATGGGTAACTTGCGCCATCGCGGACGCCTGTCTCGGGCTGGCTCGTCCTCCTCCTCCCCCCCCTCTCCTCCTCCTCCTCCACCTCCACCTCCTCCTCTTCCTCCTCCTCCTCCTCCTCCTCCTTCTCCTCCTCCTCCTCCTCCTCCTCCTCGTCCCCCTCCTCCTCCTCATCCTCCTCCTCCTCCCCCTCCTCCTCCTCATCATCCTCCTCCTCCTACTCCGGCCCAGACTGCGGCGCGCAGTTCTCTTCGCTCCCTGGCGGGTAACATGCGCCATCGTGGACGCCCATCTCGGGGGGGAAGACAAGGAAGGATAGCAAAGGGCAGGGTAGAGACTCAGCTCACGTAGCTGGGTATCCTGGCGCCTTCTGGCGCTGGGAGGCGCCCATGGAAGTATGGAGGAATGGGCCCGGCGGCGGGGCGAAAACCAGCTGTATGCAGCAGATTTCGTAACCTCCTCTTTCCCCATCCTCCCCTCTCGTCTGGCCCGACTGTCTCAGGGCGGCTCGGAGATTTACACCTCGACGCGCCACTGGGAGAATATTGACGTTCCACCCGCCCTGGGGCATGCGCCCCCGACGGACAGTTTCATGCTATTATCCGCCACCGTGCCATCAGCACGTAGTGGAGTGACCCACGGCACATGCAACACTGGGATGTAGAGGGGTCGTGAGGTTCTTGAAGGCCCGTACCCTGGCTTTCCAGGTGGTCCCGAGCGGTCCCGGCCCCAAGAGGCCCCCACAAGGCCCCCACAATGCTCCAAGAGGCTCCCAAGAGGACCCCAAGGGGCCACAAGAGGCCCCGAAACACCTCCCCAGAATTTTCGAAACTGCCTCCAGGAGGCCCCCGAGAGGCCTCGACGGGATCCCAACGACCATCCACGAGACCTCAGACCCACAACCCAAGCACGGTGGCGGGATGGGCCGAAGGCTATTAATCCGCCGCCCCCTGTCGATTCATCGCAGGGGTGCCTGGCGTGCCGAATGGTTCTTTTTCCAAAAGAACTCCCCCTGGGACTTCGGCCCGTCCCGCCGGGGTCCTGGGAGATTCCCGAAAATCCATCTGTCAATGCCTTTGCTGCCCCAAGTTGGCCCAAGATGGCCTCCAAGATGGCCACGATGGCCCAAGATGGCCTCCAAGGTGGTCCAAGATGGCCTCCAAGTCCGCCCAATATGGTCCGAGACGGCCTCCAAGACGGCCCAAGAGAGTCCAAGACGGCCCAAGAGGCCAGAGGCTAAAATCAGTGACTGTCCTTAGGTGTTTGAAGGATTTTGGAATTTGCTTCTTCTCGGCATTCCGACGGCTCAAGACGGCCCAAGAGGCCCCCAAGATCGCCCAAGAGGCCCCCAAGAGGGCCCCATGACGGCCCAAGTGGCCTCCAACACGCCCAAGATGGCCTCCAAGACGTCAAGATGGCCTCCAAGACGGCCCCGAAGCGCCCCAAGAGGGTCCCAAGTCGGCCCAGAAAGGCCCTCAAGATGGCTCCCTACGGCGTCAGACGTGCCAGGAACCCACCAAGATGGCAGAAGTTGGCTCGAAGCTTGCCCAAGACGGCCCAAGAGGCCCCAAGAGGGCTTCCAGGAAGGCCAGCAGAGGCCAAACACATTGAGGTTCCTTAGGTTTTTGACGGAGTTTGACATTTGCTTATTCTCGGCCTTCCGACTGCCCGAGACGGCCCAAGAGCCCCCAAAAATCGCCGAAAGATCGCTGAAGAGGCCTCCAGGATGGCCCCAGAACGGCCCAAGAGGCCAACAAGACGGCCCCAAGAGGACCCCAAGACTGCCCAAGAGGCCTCCAAGACGCCCAAGATGACCCTGCAACATTCCAAGGGGGCCCCAAGTCGGCTCATAATAGAGGCCCCCCCAACGGCCTCCGACGGCGTCAGACGAACCAGGAGCCCACCAAGGCGGCCGAACATGGCCCTAAGATGGCCCAAGACGGCCCAACGAGGCCTCCAGACGGCCAAGATGACCTTCAAGATGCCCACGTGTTCCCCGAAGGTTTTCCAAACCGATTCGGGGAACACATGGTCCGATAGCTTGGCAGGTCTGGCCTCAACGTTCGGCCACATAGGCGCTTCCAAAAAGGCAGGGGGCGGCGGTGATTCGCCGTAGGCGCCTTCGATCTGCCGCCCCCTGTTGATTCATCACAGGAGTGCCTGGCGTGCTGGATGTCTTACGTTCGGGTGCTGGCTCTTTTTCCAAAAAAGAACTCCCCCTGGGGCCTCGGCCCGTCCCGCCAACTGCCTGCCTCATCGGCACCTTCGCTCAAGATGGCCCAATATGGCCTCCAAGATGCCTCCAAAACGGCCAAGATGGCCTCCAAGACAGCTAAGATGGCCTCCAGACGCCTCCAAAACGGCCCAAGATGCACCCAAGACAGCCGAAGATAGCCTCAAGAAGGCCCAAGACGGCCTAAGAGGCGTCCAAGAGGCCTCCAAGAGGCCTCCAAAATGGCCCAAGAGGCATCCAAGAGGTCCTCCAGAAAGGCCCGAAGAGGCCAACATCATTGATTTCTTTTGGGCTTTTGAACGAGTTTGGGAGTTGCGCCTTTTCGGCCTTCCGACGGCCCCAGACGGCCCAAGAGGCCCCCAAGGTCGCCCCAAGATCGCCCTAGAGGCCTCCAAAATGGCCCCATGACGGCCCAAGAGGCCCCCAAGACGGCCCGAAGAGGGCCCCAAGGCGGCCCAAGAAGCATCTCAGACGCCCAAGAGGGTTTTCCAGACGGCCCTGAAGCGCCCCAAAAAGGCCCCAAAACGGCCCAGCGAGGCCCCCAAGACGGCTTCCGACCGCATCAGACGGGCCAGGAAGGCCCTGAGACTGCCAGAGAGGCCCTCAAGAAGCCCCCAAAGGCCCCCAAGAGGCCCAAGGAGTCCCCCAAAAGGCTTCCAAGAGGCCACCAGGAAACTCCCAGGAGGCCCCAAAGAGTGCCCCAACAGGCTCTCACGAGGCCTCCTCCTCCTCCTCCTCCTCCTCCTCCTCCTCCTCCTCCTCCTCTCGAACACATCTACAACTACACACAGCAAAACTGCACCTTGTTGCGGAGACCAGGGGTGGCAATCATAATTCGATTTGGCGCGTCCGTCGGTCTGGGTGGACGGACACCGCCTCACGACCTACGATGGAAGGTGATGGTCGTGCCGACGACGTTGCGCGCCAAGCGTGGAAGCGATCACCACGTTGCACGGCGAGGCTTGGCGGCAGCCGCAAGAAAAATCATAACACGAAAAAGCGCTCACGCTCGGACGGGGAATCCTGCACGAAGAAGAATTTGAAAGCGCGGGGGGTCGGATCGCGAATTTGCTGCTGGGGCACAGGCGGGGGAGGGAAGCGGGCTGCGAGACGTCGAGGCCCCCAGGCACACGGCTGGCTTCGCTGAGCCAGGGGATGCGGGATGTCGGTGGGGAGCGGCCCAGGGGGCGGGGCCTCGGCGATGGGCAGCGCCGGCAGCCGATGCTTCGCGAAAAGGGGACACGCACAAAACGGCACTTAGCGGCCGGGGCGCGGGACACGTCGGGGGCGCGAGTGGCGGCCCCCGACATGCACCCCGCCCCGCCGGCTAGGTGTAGTTCTATAAGTGCTCCGTTTTGTGGGGATGTTTCCGGCGAAACCAGCACGTACAGAACTACACCTAGTGCCCGGCTAAGTGTAGTTCTGCACGCGCTGGATGTCTCGCGCGGGGCGAGCACGTACAGACCGGCACCTAGCGAAAGGGGCGGGGTACACGTCGGGTACGTCGTCGCGCCCCGCCAGCAGAGTCAGGAAGGCAAGGGCCGCTGAACCCCCTGCCTGCCTCCGGGCGGAGGTGTCTGAACGTCCCGGGGCTATCAGAAGGAATTCCAACTGCGGCCTCCGCGCACATCGCTCCCCCTATCAGAGTATCTCGCCTGGTCACTATGTTCACCATTCCCCCCCGTCCTTTGCCCTCCCACCCCCCGTTTTTCCTCTACCTGCCGCCCTCCATCTCCCTGAGCGTTTCCTACTTGCCCCTGGCCCCTGAGTGGCGGCAAACGCCCGCGCCCCCCCGCAGCTGAAAGACTCACCTTGCGCTCATGCTCCAATCCACTCGCGAGGCGCAAGCCTTGGTTCCAGACTGACAATGGCAAGAGACGCCGAGGCCCCGGCAAATCCAACAGGCGCGATCGGCCCCCTCGAATGGCGGGC